CGGAGACTCTTGACACGCACCAGACATTCGGAGGTAATTAATAATATACACTAATACTGAAACAGTTAAGGCATTTTAGAATGACTAAAACAATATTTAAGACACGTTACAGTGTGCCCAGCCTGCTGGTTTGTCCATTTACACACATTTTCATTATCATATGATCATGATCTTTTTTTAATGTACATACTGTAATTTGTTCAGTAAAAGTGTTTCCATCGTAGTTTATGCGCACATTTTTTATCGAATAAAAGTTTATCCTACTCAGTTATGCGCGTGTTTTATGCATATTTTAAAAAGTTATGTGCATCATGACGTTTCTATCAATCGTTTTTATGCACGTATCCAAAATGAGCATTAAAATAGGTGGGTGGAAACGTAAGACTAAGGCGAGAAATACCGCTTCATCTTTAAAAAAGGGGAGGAGACCGACAGAAACTCTGAGTTTAGAGAATAAAACCTGCTTCTGACCAGGTTAGATTCACAGAGTAAGTTACCACAGTAACTGACTCTGAGTTAAAGTTACCTTTCTTTCAGAAACAGGCTTGACTTACCCTGCTTTCTCGAGTTTAACAAACCTGCCATTTTGAAACGGAAAACTCAGAGTTTCTCTCATTTCAGGGTTAAAATACTCTGAGTTTTCAGTTAACCTCCTTTCTGAAACAGGCCCCTGATGTCATCAGCTGACTTATCATCTTACAGCTGAACCTCATTTGGCTGGCTATATAATTCCTCCTGTGGTATGTGCTGGTTATCAGTCCGTTTGTTGTCCTTGTTTGTCCTTGTTCCTAACTGTTGTCTCCCAGTATCCTCCGCTGTCTGATGTCTTCGGTGTGGCCTGTGGCTCTCTTTTGTTTGAACTTTCGTGTGTCCTCTGTTCATTGAAATACGCATTTGGATCCTCCTTGTCTAAGAGTCGTGACACACTTGCTGTGAACAGCTGTGTCTCATTTCAGAGCTCTTTCAGTTCTCGAAGTTGCCTGGGTGGTGCACAACATAATCGATGTATCTATGCTCGACTTTTAAGGTTTCACAACAGAAACATGCATGAGCAGTTGACTAGATTATTTAAACTGAACTCAGACTAAGTTTGATCAAATAATCTTCAACTTGCTGTTATGGAACCAATTTAAGCGTGGACGTTTAGTTTGGCTAATTGAAGTCAGGCTTTTGATTTTAATCCCCACTTTTCTTAACCACCTTTTATTAAATAGCCCCCTGGTTGAGAGACAGCTACAGCTTGGAATCACAGCATCTCACATATTCTGGTTCAACATCAACATAAATGTTGATAATCTTCCAAATAATTATACTAATGATAACAATAATAAACCCAAAGAAATATCTAAATAACAAAACAAAAAGAAATGCTCTGCAAAAATTGAAAATAAAAAGCAAACTGAAAATAATACAAAACTCAAAACAAAAGCAGAGCACAACTAACCCAAATCAATACATCTGTTGAAATGCTAAGAATGTTGCAGAACTCAAAACTAGTTCGAATCAGGCTTGAAAACCGGGTGCCAAATTGCCTGTCATTGAACTGGCTTGAAGTCTTAAATCATCCCTATAACAGAGCGCCAATAGACTTGAATAGTTGCATCAATAGTTTGGCCGCAGATGTTCTGGTGCCTTTCAGTTAACTTAGTAAATGTTTAAATTACTCACAATGGGGCTTAACAGTATTTTCATTGGAAAAACTTAAGTAATTGCCCCACGAGACTCTTTTGAATGACTCTTCTACATGGTCATGTGCTCACCTTGGGCACATCCTGCCAGATGTACAATTTCGTAGAGATAAAGAGAAATAATGCATACGAATAAAATACAATCTCTTAAAAGGTTAGAACTTAGGCAGATGTATCTTTGAATAATATGCCATAGTTTTCCTCATATTCCAACCAACCAGGTTAACCAATGTGTTATTTTAACCCTTTTAGCAGATTAAAATGATCTGTTTGAGTCTAAAATGTATGATTTCTGGTATTGAACGAAAGCTAGTGACTTTCCAACTTAGTCGGAACTACTTGTTCTTCCGCCTGCCAAGTCATGTGCGTAATAAAGCACTGTTCACCTGCAGATCACGCTAGCTAGCAGTGGCGTAGCGGACGAGCCCGCAGGGCACGTACCGCGGGGGGGGGCCCGTGTGATTAGGGGGCCCCACGTCGTCGCGATTTTCAATAATTGAAATTCCAGAACCCGCAATAATCAAACTCTTGGGAACAACTGTGGTCGGAACCAAAGTTCACAGGTCTGTGTTCTCTGATTACAGAATGACTACTTCATTCTGATTGCTTGCTGCCGAACCGCGTCATCCGCTTGTTAAAGGTTCAGGACACCCCGGAGAACTTTTTTTTTTTATATTAACAGATGTGTGTGTGTTGAGCATCAGTTAAGACAATGTTAGCACCTGTCAGCTTTAATTGTGGGGAAAACTGGATAATTTTGAGCTTTTGTCAGCTAATTTCAGTTTCCAGATTTAAAATGATTTTTGGGGCGGGATCAAAATCGGCGACGTAGCGCAGAACTGCAAGTGCAATGATGACGCGTCGGTTTCTCATTATTATTCATAGCGGAGTTCTCTTATCCTATGAGAAGAGCCGACTGCTTAATTATTCATGAGACCTGCCAGACCTGTCAGTGTCAAGCCCGAGCTGAGACACGGAAACCACGGCACAGTATTTAGCCATACATGAAGGCTCATATGCGTTTGTTTCCATCATCCACGGGGTTTGTTGCATGTTTTCCCATCTTGTCAGGGCCGATCATACAGCAAAGCTGTGTGTGTGCTGCTAGCATTTTTGTCGGGAGAGCAGCACGAGAATTAGAGAATGGTGGACGCTGTCTTTTATCCGGAATTCGTTCACATTCAGACACATCGCCGTGCTGCTGTGTTTGCCCAAATCCTCCAGATTACCAGCAGGGTTAATGGTTAAAATAGACGGGTCAGGAGACCTGCTGCATTGAGTCTGCTGGATACGGGGATTGAGGGAGAATCCTCATTTATAGTGTTTACATGAACACACATCTTTATAATGATATAAATTGGGGTTGTCTGTATATGAAATTACAAATTGCAAATGTAGCAGGGCATTAAATTACTGTTCATTTCTTTGCATTTTAACTTTGTGAGCTATAAACTCATGCGTCTCCTCTTTGTGTCTCATTTTGTGAGCTAACTGACAATAGCAGTTGTTCGCTCCCCTTCTCCCCTGCTGGCCACGCCCACTCCTACCCGATGCTCGCGGAGCTCCATGCCCATTAATCATGCATCTTTTGAAAAAATTCTGAAGTAGACTTTAACCGAAAGAGGGGGGTGTCATGGCCCTTTAAGTGTGAGCGGAGCGGAGCGGAGCGGCTTCCGGGTCCAAGCACTCTCTCACTCTCTTGCCATTCAACTGAATGGGGAGATTCATGAAATGGTAATGAAAAAATGTTTACAAAGCGATTAAATACTTTTGAAAGTCACAATCGCAATATATATGTCCATGCCTAATATCTGATGGCCAGAAAGTGATTCATTGTTTTATAAATAGTTAAAATTTTGGTATTTGTTATGCAGCAAGCCCAGAGATAGTAGTGTACACTATGACTTTATGTAAAATTAACTTTAATGTGTGATAGGAATAAAACGCGATCATAAACGAATGATTTCTCCACTCAAATGAATAGCGGCTTGGACCTGGAAACAGTATACATGCGTCACAAACACATCACCACTTAACAAGCGGATAGCCAATGAAGACGCGCCGCTGTTATTGCGAGGAGTTTAAGTTAGAGGAGAGTGGGGGTGTATTGGGGGGGCAAAAGAGTCAGTGTGGGGCAGAGTTCAGGAAGGAGACAGCTCTGGGGATAAAGCTGTTCCTCAGTCTGCTGGTTTTTGTCCGGGGGAGCCTGAAGCGCCTGCCAGAGGGCAGGAGAGAAAACTGTCTGTGAGCAGGGTGAAAGGTGTCGTTCAGAATACTGCGTGCTCATCGCAAACAGTGTTTCTTCTGGATGTCCTCTATGGCTGGCAGTGTGGTCCCTGTGATGCTTTGGGCAGTTTTCACCACCCGCTGCAGTGCCTTACACTCAGCAACAGAGCAGCTTCCATACCAGACTGTGACACAGTTTGTCAGAATGCTCTCTATTGTGCAGCGGTAGAAGTTCACCAAGACGGCTGATGAAAGCTGGTTCTTCTTCAGTTGCCTTAAGAAGAATAGGCGCTGGTGAGCCTTCTTGATCAGGCTGGAGGTATTGGTGGACCAGGAAAGGTCCTTTGGAGATGTGTGTCCCCAGGAACTTAAAGGATGAGACAGGCTCAACGGCCATCCTATTGATGTGGATGGGATCATGTGAGCCTGTTCGTCCCTTTCTGAAGTCCACAATGAGCTCCTTGGTCTTAATGGTGTTAAGGAGCAGATTATTGTCTGTGCACCAAGTGGCCAGATGCTGTATCTCCTCCCTGTAGGCCGTCTCATCATTGTTGCTGATTAGACTAATCACTGTGGTGTCATCTGCAAATTTGATGATGGTGTTGGATCTATTAACAGGCCTACAATCAACGGTAAAAAGGGAGTAGAGGAAGGGGCTCAGCACACAGCCCTGTGGTACACCAGTGTTGAGTGTGACGGTGGTGGAGCAGATGTGGCCTGATCCAATTCACATTCTGTTCAAAGTTTCTCTTTTTGCTTGCTTTTGCCATTGCTTTTTCGTTGAGTTTTGCCAAAGTATAGTCATTAGCATATTCATACGGGGGAGGAGGCAGGGAGGGGTTTTGTGCTCGTGCATGTTGCGCTCAGTTTCACGTTCATTCGGATGTACAAAAGAATATGCTTGAGATTCGGCGTACGCAGTGTTTCATACATCTGAATTTTTTCTGCGTACACACATTTACAGCTTTGTGCATACGCAATGTTTTGGTATGATTTCCACGCAAATCTTAGTACATGAGGCCCCAGGTGTGTGAGTACAGAGTGCAGTGCTATAGAGACTGCATCATCTGTGCTCCTGTTGCCACGGTAGGCAAACTGATGTGGGTCCAGTGTGGATGGCAGAGAGTCTTTTAGATGTGCCAGGACCAACCGCTCGAAGCACTTCATGATGATGGGTGTGAGTGCTACAGGCCGGTAGTCATTCCGGCATGTTGGGCTGAAGTGTTTGGGCACTGGCACAATGGAGGTGGTTTTAAAGCATGTTGGCACAGCTGCTAGGTTGAGCGACAGGTTGAAAATGTCTGTGAATACCTCAGCGAGCTGTTCTGCACATACTTTGAGGACACGCCCAGAAATACCATCTGGTCCAGCAGCCTTACGCCTATTGATATGACTCAGTGCGTTGTGTACTTCTGAGGAGGTGAGAGTGATAGGTGAGTGGTCGGTGGAGGAAGTGATCCTGGTGTAGGGTTCTTTATTGTCTCTATCAAAGCGGGCATAAAAGTCATTTAGCTCGTTCAGGAAGGAGACATCAGTGGCTGTGGGTGTGGACTGGCTGGGTTTGTAGTGGCCTGGATGCCTTGCCACATACACCGAGGATCAGAGTTGGAAAGTGCTCCTCTAGCTTAAGCTTGTAGCAGTGCTTGGCCTTTTTGATTGCCCCTCTTCAGATTATCCCTGGAAGTGCTGTAGGCCTGTGCATTCCATGATCTGAAGGCAGTGTTGCGTGCCTTCAGCAGGAGGCACACCTCCTTGTTCATCCATGGCTTCTGATTCGTGTATGTGGTGATTTGTTTCTGGGTTGTAACACTGTCTATGGTGGTGTTGATATATTCCAGAACAGAGGAAGTGTAACTGTCAATATCTGTGTGAGAGCCATGTGTGGCCTGGGAAGCAAACATACCCCAGTCTGTGCGTTGAAACCTGTCCTGGAGTGTGGAGTCTACCCCCGCTGGCCACACTTTGATGGTCCCCACTGATGGCTTCACACGGTCGATGAGGGGTGAGTATTTGGGGGTAAGGAACAAAGAAAGGTGATCTGACTGACCCAGGTGGGGGAGGGGGGTCACAGCGTATGCTTCAGCTATGTTTGTGTAAACATGGTCCAATGTTTTGTTTCCCCTTGTGTGGCAGAGAATGTTTTGATGGAATTTAGGGAGCACTGTCTTTAAGTTTGAGTGATTAAAATCCCCCGCAACAATATTTTGGTTTGTTTTTTTCCTCTTGTATAATTTATCACGTATATTGACTTGATTTGATTTTCCTTGCAGGAACTGAGGTCCCACTGGTGCAGGATCTTGAGGTGGTGGTGGTGGTGTCGCTGCACTTGAAATTTTGCTGTGGACAGTTTGGGCGTGTGGAGTGTGTGAATTTAGTGTGCAGGTGTGGTGTGTGTGTGTGGAAGTGTGCTTTTTGAACAATATGAAGCACTGGTGATCCCTCCTATGTGTGACCTCAGCCCTGTAAGTTAGTTTATTCAATTTATTTCTCCGGTTAATTTAGTTTTCATATTTACTTTGTAATAACTTGTTGTTGTTGTTGTTTTCTATAAATTCATTTTCTTTATTTTTTTTATTTACTGCAGTTACATTGGAGGGAGGTGTTGGCAGAAAGTTCAGAGAATTTTATGTGACTATTTTAATCTGCCACAAATTCTGGAAATAAATTTTGTACTTTTATACTATACTCACGTCTCTTGCCTATTCATATGAGAACTGAACCTGTGTGGCCTAAGAGTAATGTTTGAGCCAGTTTCTATTTCCTGGGAGAAAACTTCTCAGGTGGCGTAGTCGGATTTGCTTTGTGGATGATTTGTTAATCCCTTCTCTCCCCCCATATTCCCTCGCGTCACATTCGCTTGCTATAACAATACCTTTGGAGCTGTAGATAGAAACATAGTTCCTGGCTGAGTTCTATTCCCACTTTCCCCCCCTATATCCTATTCATTCAGAATATTCTAACATTTAAACTTGAAATTATTTTTTTAAATAAAGCATTAAAGTCATCACTCTTAGGTGTAATTTGCGTTCAAAGCATTTTTCAAGTCAGTTTTAGCAATCTTCATGTTTACAATTGTGCTCCCTTCGCAGTGCACTTTGAAAACATTGATGCCATTTGGAACACATTTTTGTCTCATGGCAAAAGCTATAGGTGAACTATTATTTAAAACAGAATATATGTTACGTCTCTAAAGCTTGCGAAAACAAAAAATGTAGGATACGTTAATGCTTTTTACATGTGTCAAATTGTAAAAGTAGACTTTTCATAAAACTTAAATAAACAATATCCTACTTAATAATAATAATAATCGTCATCACCATTAATATTATTATAAAAGTATGATTTTTTTCTTTTCCTAATCAATAAAAAGTATTAAACTTCATTTCTTAATAAATAGCTTCATTATTTATTTATCTATTTATTTATTTATATGCTTTATATATGAAATTAGAATACATGTTAGCCTTCGTAAAGGATTTTATGTTTTAATTGGTCCTGTATGAACCGTTTGCATAGATTTCAATTAATATGGAAAATAAAGTGCACGTTTTTACCAAAACTAATATTGGAATTATTTTAAATGCGTGTGTGTGTAAAACAATATCATTTGAAGAAAGAAATTATAGGGTTCTTCTCTAAAGAAATTATTACTCCACGCCTTTCAGAGCATCATTATGGGTGTTAGATGTTTAGGCAGGCATTTTAAGATATACATGCTCAGATGCTGTCGATAAATATGTAAGTTGGCTCTTTTTTGTATGATAAGTCTTTATCAATAAACAATAAACAAGAATAACCCGTAATATGTCTCGTATTCAGTATGAAGTGACACTTTAAAGTACACTACTTGTTCCTTTAATTTCCCAAACAGTAATTTTTAGGCAAAGTATCGGTATCTGATCTGTATCACCGATACTCGCCTTGATTTTACTTGGTATTGGATCGGAAATCAGTAGTATCGCGCATCACTAGCGCAAACAGTATTGATCTTGTAACATTTAATGTGATTAAGTTACAAACTTGCCACGTTAAATCTACATGCAGTCTGTTAATGATTGACCCCTCCTACGTCAGTACGGGCATGGCCCCGCCCTTTATGGCAACTGTTCATTGAAAGACAGTGCCATGGGGATGGACCAAACCAGGTCACCTAAAAACACCCTGCAACAAAGAAACTTTGCTTTTGCATTAGCTGGCTTGCGCATGCTATTGCTTTCTGCCCCTGTTCACCTGCTCGGACACCGCTCCGCCACGCTATTGGGTCACCACAAATTCTCTATGTAAATTAAGTTTCAGGACCGCCGAAACTGCATGAACTTCCACAAACCGACTCTCATCAGTCCGTCAACTCGGTAAACGACAGCCGACCACGAGCGAATCCCAAGGACGTCACCGAAGCCACAAGCCAATCTGGAGCACCGTGTTTCCCCAAGGCCAGCCGGTGAGGGAAATTTAGGACTTCCAGCAAATAGACACAAGTAACACAAACTAATGTTGTCTCTTGCTGATCTAGTGCAGATTGATCTTAAGCAGTTAAAGAAAAGCCACATCTCTGCTTTTGTGGTTTCTCAGGTGTGATTCTAAGATCTTCTTAGAAGTATTAGAATTAATTTGGGACGTTGTCAACTCATTTTGCATCCTCTAAACTGTATAACTGTACGGTCCTTTCTAAAATGCATTAAAAGTCATAATAGTTTGCACGGATGTGAGCAGTGCATTGCAGTAGCACAAATGGTGGAGGGAAAGGCAGTGTATTTAACATACGGTCCTTCAGAACAAAGAGAAGATGAGGTGTTCAACCAAGCTGGATAACCTCACCATCAAAAGCAAGTATGGCCTCTGGTAAGACCTGGTATTTTATGTTTCAAACAGGTTCCACTTGACTACATGCACCTTGTTTGCCTTGAAGCTACGAAAAGACTTCTTACATATTTGTGGTGTGGCCCTCAGATCTGTCGACTGAGTATTCTAAGAAATTAGAAATGAACATCAGTCATTTTGAAGGGTGCTTTGCCCGCTGAGTTTTCAAGGCAGCCAAGAGGCATGGCAGAATTAGACAGGTGGAAAGATACTGAGCTACGTCAGTTCATGCTTTACACAGGACCGATAATCCTAAAGGAAGCACTTACTAAAGACCAGTGCCATCGCTTTCTTTGTCTAAGTGTTGGCATGAACATTTTTTTTGGAAGACATGGATGGGAAGAGAGAATGTTATCTAGGATATGCAGGTGACATTTTGGAGCACTTTTTGGATACATCAGTGGATTTCTATGGACCCACCTTACCACCATACAACAACCATTCCATCAAACACTTGGCTGATGACTTAGCTAACTTTCGCAGCTCCTTAACCCACATATCTTGTTTTACATTTGAGAACCACCTGCAGGTTATTAAAAAAAAAAAAAAAAAAAAAAAAAAAAACTTGTGAGAAGTGGAAAACAACCACTGGTGCAAGTCACAAAAAGACTTGCAGAAAGAGAGTCTACTGAAATGCATGCAAGACAATTACTAAGAAAAACAAAGATCACATCAAAGATGTCAGACAACTGTGTGCTACTCATGGATAATGTAGTGGGATTTATCAGAGAAAAAAAAGTGATGGAACACTAAGGATTGATATGCTCTGAGAAACAGACTGTGATAGTGTGTTTGAAAAGTCATGCAATTCGAAGCTGTTCAACATTATGTTCGTCAGTCGTGACTTGAAAATGGCAAGAAGTATAATTCTGAGAAGCAGAAAGAATGTCTACAGAAAGGCATTGTGTCTCCCTTACAAACATGAATTTGCAATATTCCCTCAGCTACAAGTACTCAAATTCAACTCAAACCATCTAACACCAAATGTGTCTTTGCCGGATCGTCTGACAAAATTTAAAGATCTACAGCCCAAGACAGGAAAACTGCTCAATTTCTAAGTATACTTTTTCAATTAAACTGCCTTTCTGTTTCTGCTTTTGGTGATTATTTAAATGGTTAAAAAGTTACTCTATATGTACAGCTGACGTTCAAGAAAGTCAACTTTGAAGCTTTTCCCCGTCAAGCTCAGCCACAGAAGGTAGGTAGTTAACTGGGATTAGTTGTGTATATGTGAAATAAACACTGCACAAATTTGTTCATGTTTTAAAATTCCATATGTCCTATGTGATGTCCAATTCACTGCCCAAAACACTTAGATGTGACCTGCCCAACACTTGAACTATTTAATAGTTAAATTGTTAGTTTTTCACATCTAGATCATTACAAAAAAATGTCAGGGTTCTGCCACTCTGGTCTTGTGAATTCTTGTATTGGTGGCAGAGTCCGGAAACTTGCTCTGTCTTGTCCTGTTTCTGTCATTGTGTGTGTCTCTGTGTGCGCGCATGACATCGTTGGTGTGCGCAGAGCGTGCGCGCTCCCGCTTGATGCGGCCGCGCAGGCTCTGCGTACCTCGGATGCGCGTGCTCTTGTACTCGTGTTTGTGTTTTGTTCTGGTGGCATTGCACTTCCTTCTCAGTGTTTTCGTCTAGTTGGTTTCGGTTTTGGTTGACGCTGAGATAAAACATGCGCGTTGCATATGTGTGAGTGCACAGTAAGGTGTTCATCTTTCGTGTGCTCGTGTCTTTTGTCTATTTGTGTTTTCCAAGCACGTGGCTATGTGTTTACATTGTGGCTGCCTGCTTCGTCTTGTCCTGTTATTGTGAACGTGTGGTTAATGAGTTCTCTCATTGGCTATTTGTACTTGTCCTGTATTATGTGAGCACATGGCTTATGTTGTCTCTGTGTCATGTGCTCTCCTGTCTATTGTCTAGTCCCAACCTCCTTGTTAACCCATTATTAACTAATTATGTTCATCTGTTTGTGTGTTAATTTGCTACAGCTTATAATCCCCTCATGTCTGCTGTCCTGTGCCAGTTCGTCACTGTATGTCATCGTTTCTCTCCTTGTCCTGTCATATGTTCCAGCCCTGATCCCTACCAGCCTGCCCAATCAAGTTTGTTTGTTTGTTTATTTGTTTTGCTAGTGTTTTCCCCATCGGGGTAGTTTGTTTTGCTTTTTATTTTTATTAATAAATACCCATAGTTTGCTGTATTTTAGTCCTCGCTCCTTTTTCCCCAACCCAAACCATGACAGTACGAACTGGCCAACAGAGGACTCAGCAGAAATTTTTTTTTTTTTCTGCGCCCAGCTCTCTCCCAGGAAGAAGAACCCAACGACCAGCCCCTAGCCAGAGGACTGCCTCACCAGCAGAACCCTCCCCCTTCGGCATCTTCGCCGAAGATCTCCTTGAGGCAGTCCGGGGGCTTGGGTTCAGTGAGACCAACCTCATCCACATCTTTCTGGCTGGATTGGATGAACCATTCGATTGGGAGCTGGGTAAAATTGAGACATGGACTTGAGGGGAGGTGGTGGAGTATTCCTACCTGAGGAAGGAGAGGAAGATCCTGGAGGGGAAATGGACCCCTTTCACCACCAAAAGCACCATCTCCCAGCCCATGACCAACCCCCAAGGGTTAACCTGCACCCAAAAGCGGAGGCTGAAGAGAAAGGCTTCTTCAGTGAGGGTTGCTCCAGCCCCAGAGCGCCCTCCAGTGTCGGCTTCAGTCCAGTCGCCTCCAGCCCTGCCAGCTCGTTACAGTGCTCCAGTCCAGCCGGCTTCAGTCTAGTCGCCTCCAGTTCAGCCGTCTTCAGTCCAGTCGCCTCCAGCTCTGCCGACTCCCCAAAGACCTCCAGACCAGCCGGCTTTAGTCCAGTTGCCTCCAGCCCTCCAGCGAGGCATCTGGGAGGTGCCGGCAGGGCGGGACTACTGGGTGTTGCCAGCAGGGCAAGGCGTCTGGGAGGTGCCGGACTTCGCATACGCTACTGACAGGTACCCCCAGAGGTATGCCACCTCCCCTTTTTTGCTCTGATTGACCTACTATATGGAATTTTTATTATCTTTTGAAACCATTTAAAATTTACAGTACAAGATTTACATTACTTGCATTTTTTTATTTCACCATGTAGTTACAGCAATAGACATTTAGGGGTGAACACCTGCAACCCAGAACCCCAGATGTGTCTCACAGCCATCAACATTCATTAAGATGTAAGTGCCTTGTTAAAGAGATGAACAATAGTTGTGTTATTTACAGAAATTGTTAGTGATAGTCAAAGTGATTCTTCTATTTGTAGCGTACAGTCCACAGATAAAATTTCTTATTGATTTTATCACGGTCTGGCTTTGGTCAGAAGGTTTTACGACTCCTGGCTCCAAGAAGTCTGGATTTTCGTGACAGCTTAAGTTGTTCAGGGGGGACTGGAAAGATGAGCAGGAAAGCTTCAAAGACATTCCTGCCCAAATACATACACACACACACACACACACACACACCCCCACGAGGCTGTTCTGACAGAAAGAAAATGGACTCATCAAATCCTGAACCAGCACAAAACCAATGTGTTATGTTTTGTAAACTTTGTATCTCATTTCTGACTTTTCTTACCTGTGTAACCTCTCTTATAACCTGTATGCATGTTCCATTTAGGCCTTTGTAAAGCATAAATATTGTAAGGATATGAAAAATTATGTTGATGTACTTTCAACCCCCCCATGTTTGGTACCGATGGGTTTCTGCTGACATTTTACAACACATGATGCATAGAGCGAGAGCATAACTCGCATTGCTTTATTCTTTAAAGCCCTGTATTAAATGCCTGTCCGCATGCTTTAGGCGGACACTCAAATTTGCATATGAGCAGCCCCGAGACAAAGGAAGGTTCGCGCGCAAACTTTCCCCTGAAATCATTGGTCAGAATGCTGTACGGTTTGTCACGTGACCCGCAGGTATAAGCACACTTCCCCCCAAACATCTGGGCAGAAAGAGAACGTCCCAAAAAGGAACATCATTGACGGTGGTCCCTTTAAGGGCCACACGGCTCTTCACAGCCGCATGGACTTTCCCGCCACGTTTTCTTTATTTTCCGGCAAAAGTAACTCAGTTTAAAGTGTGCGATCGTGTTCGTCCGAACTGCATTACAAACTCCACGCATTAAGAAGGACATCGAGTTTCATCACGACGGAAGAGAGACGCATAAAAGAGACCTCCAGACATGAAAGACCAGGGGCCTCATGTACGAAGACTTGCGTAGAAATCTTACTAAAACATTGCGTACGCACAAAGCTGTAAATGTGCGTACGCAGAAAAAATTCAGATGTATGAAACACTGCGTACGCCGAATCTCACGCATATTCTTTTGTACATCTGAATGAACGTGAAACTGAGCGCAACATGCACGAGCACAAAACCCCTCCCTGCCTCCTCCCCCGTATGAATATGCTAATGACTATGCTAATGGCAAAACCCAACGAAAAAGCAACGGCAAAATCAAGCAAAAAGAGAAACTTTGAACAGAATGTGAAATGGAGGTGCTGCTTTCGGAGGTAGACCGGAGAAAAGCGGTGTTATTTGCAAGTTTGTTCTCCGGAATTAACAACAAAAGAAAAAAATAGAGTGGGAGAGATTAGCTGATACGGTTAACACAGTTGGGTCTGAACATCGCACTGAGTGCATTTAAAAAAAGAAATAGTGTGGTTTATATCTGTGAAATGTTGCAGCACCCTTAGCAGTCTCAGTGGCGCACCTCATAAGAAACATGTGTTCATGTACTGACACATTCGAGCATAAACTCGGCTCGAATCCAGCGTCTGATGAATTCTTTCTTCTTTTTTTCCCCGCTACATATCAGATTTTGCCCACTATTTATCACGAGAAAGACAAGTAGGAATCATCAATAAGTTTGTGCATCATATTTTATTTGCACATTTATTAAATGGAAATGTTTCTGATTCACGCATGCAAATTCATCTTCACATAGTGTCTTTATAGCAATGTGCGTGCAGTAGATTACTCAGATTACATTGGGAAAACAGGCGACTGCTGCAAATTGTGCTTTAATGTTTAGCTGGTCAACTGTATGGTATGGAAATCTTACATACCTACTATATGAACCCGTCTCATACAGACGCCATTGCAAGGATCAGACACTTTGTAGAGAAGAATTTAACACAACTGCCTCTAGGAGTCGCCAATGGAAATAAAACAGACACGCACAAAAAATGTGCGTACGCCTGCCAGAAAGCTGCCGTGAACCTGCGCACATTCCCACGTTCAGTTCATTGTTAGTAAATCCAAACGTGAGCGATTCTGAGCGTGAAACCTGGCGTACGCAAAGTTTTTGTGCGTACGCAGCGTTGATACATGAGGCCCCAGGTGATTTTAGTTATGCGATTAAGTTGTGCCCCTTTTATCAAAAAGGTGTTTTTTATAACCTTGGTGGTCCGTAATGGTGCGTGTGGAACTGAAAGTTTTGTCACTCTTTTATCTGAAATCTATATTTCCTGGCTTTACCATTTCACTTTGCTGTTACACGTTCTATAGACCCGATATCTCCACGTGGTTTACCTTTGTTTTGTGTTTAATGTATGTTTGTGTGTTACGTCTGACTAGTCAATAAATTCCATTTATAATCAAATGAATTGTATTGTTTGCCTCACGAGAAAATGTCACTGAAATACCGATTCCCCTGCCTATCTATTATAAGTTGTTTAAAACTTTTGAATGATTAATCTACTTCACAAGAAGTAGCAATTAAATTCCCTATTTCTAAATGAATAGATTACCGTGTCCGCTCGGAAGAGCGGCGGCTCTGCTTGTGTTCGTTTTGTCAAGTTAACAATAAATTGATCCGGAACATTAATGATTAATAATAATTCGTTATTGTTGATAATTAATATTCATAATCTGGGAATCCGCTTGGTCGCGCTAGCATGATCATTTACAATCATATGTTTGTTTGACTGAAGCTTAAGCCGGAATATTAATAATTAAGAATAAACCGTTATTGTTGATTATTAATATTCATAAAATGAGCTAATTTCATGTTACATATTATAGTATAATATTATTGTTATATTATACAAATTATAAATCGCACACTTTTAAAGCCATTAAAATTAATTGGCATGTTACAGTTGGTGATAACAGGCTTGATTAATGTAGACAAAAAAGCAACCGAGCTACAGTATATTCTTGGAATGCAACATTGTGCAAAGTACATTCACAGGGTGTAAAAAACAATTTCTTGGCTCTAAACTGCACAGTGTTTAGCCTATGTTGTTAGTTTCTATTTAACAATTGGAGCTTTATTAATAAATATTAATTAATCAATTTTGGGGAGCTTAACTTATTTGGTAAGAATTTTATAAAGTTGTGAAATTATTATTATTTTATTGATTTCAGATTGATAACATTTCTTTTTTTTTTTTCTTTTTTTTTTTTTTTTTTACAGGTGAGCTAACACGCATAACCAAATCAGAGAGAAGGCTGCATGGTTCATCACCAATTGCCTCAGCTTTAAATAGAAGTAAGTGCAGTTTCTTAGAAGTCATCAACGATTAAAGACAATTGAGCAACAAAATACAAGAATACAACTTTGGTCAAAGTGCTCACAATCTACTGGGCTATGCAAAAAAAAAAAAAAAAAAGATAGTAACCCATTTTAATTAATGTAACTGTTTAATTAATGTAACTGTTGCAATATCTAAAGACAAAAAAAAAAAAACATTAAGAAAACATAGAAATATTAAGATTTGGTCTTTCACGGGTGATTCTCGCATTTGTGAACATGTTGACGAAGGTTGTATGATTGATAAATTTCCAGGTATCATCAGCCAAACTTGGAGACGTGTACTATTTTTTAATTTTTATTTAAAAAAATGCTTTTTATAGTTTGTTTTTCTAAATATATACACACGTTTTGTGCAGATGACGTAACACTATGATAAACGGCATGTATCAGAGAGGAGACATGGGGTCTCACATGTGGCCACAGCTTCACACACTTGAGGTAATATTGAGAAACTGTTTTTCCATAAAGTTTATCAATTGGTCATGTCTATTAATGTATGGATGTATGTAGGTGCATGTATGTTCATATGTGTCTGTGTATGTATTTTTATATTTGGTTTTATGCCAATGACGAAACCCTCTATGATAAACTGCACATGTCAGAGAGGAGACAACATGAGGTCTCACATGTGGCAAGGTAATATTAAGTAATTGTTTTTCCATTTTAGTATGTTCAGTCAGAATGTAAAGAATTAGTCTCATGTTTATTTTTATGTCTTGTAATAATTGATATATTTGCAGTTTTTTTTTCCAACTTATAAGTGCTTATAATACACTGGACTATGTTATAATTTTATTTTATTTTATTTTATTTTCCACTGATGATTTATTAAGAACTACGCACTTTACTGATAAACTGTTTTAATGACTTTGAACATTAAATTTTACACTGTTTCTTAGCTATAGTTTGTTCTGACCCAAGAGTATATGCTTCAAGTATTATCCTTTATTGGGATGTGAAACATATTTACATAGTTTGCTGTTTTGCTTTTACATCACTCATGTGAATTGTTTTTTTTTTTTTTTTTTTGTGGTGCAATTTATATAATTTAATTACATTTATTGATGGATTTGGATCTACTCGCATAGTTAGACGAAGAATTCAGAAATCTTTCTCCAGGCCAACTGGCAGAACTGAAAGAGGCATGCATTTTTTTTTATATCTTTTGCATAAAGGTTTATTGTGTGTGTTGCTCATTATGGTGTTCTTTTGTACCTTAAATTTTACATGCTGGTTTTCTCTATTTTGTAATGTCTAGTTTTGTCTCCTGCAAACGAAGGGTAAGTAAACTTTCAGGGGGATCTTATTTATAGGCTTAAGGGCTATAAAAATAATGTATAAAAGTATCTCAGGCAAACTAAATTCCTACAGTTACATATACAGAGTTTATCATTGCTTAGTTATACTACGCTGAGTTGTAGATCCCACCTGTACAAGAATTTAATTTCATTTTTTAAAGAGTGTTAAATTTTTTCATTTTTTACAGGTACATTTGGGAGAGCACACAGAAGTAATGGTATGTTTATTAATTTTTGTTACAGCAATTGGGTTGTCCTCTCTAAAATAGAATTTACATATTAAACTTTGTTAAATATGAAACAGGCCACAGTGGCACCAGAGCCTCAAAAAGTGCACACCCCCTATTAAATGAAAGCAAGAAACACAACTTTTTCAGTGAACCCTTTGACAAATTGTATAAAAGCAAAAATTGTGTTCTAAACATTTATTATTTGTTTCAAGTTTTTGTTGTCACTGCTTTAGTTTGCTGTGATTTCAGACCAGTGTTTTTGCTTGGTGTCATTTAAATTATGTGGATTGCTTCTATTGATCTTATGTTCAAGCTATACTGTATAGTTTCTATTAATCTCTTTAAGAATTTCAAAGGAAACTTTTTAGATTAATTTATGTTCTAAAAGATGACATCAAAAGATTAACTGCCATTGTTGACCCTGGAAAGTCGTCTTCATCCATGAAATAAAATGGAGTCAGAAGTGAACTTTCAGTTGTTTGAAGAATGCTTAAATGATGAGACCAAGTGGCTCTACGCAAGTTCAAAATGTGACAATATGTTTGTCAGTATGGCTTGTCTTTCTCTCATTTTCATTTTTTTTTGGTCTGTTTCTGTCTATTGACCGGCAGCAGTTGAGTTTTAATCATTTTATTTGTATTATGGTATCGCATGTTCAGTAGCTACGTTTCCATTCACCTATTTTTATGCATATTTTACATATGCGCAAAAAAAATGTTTGATGGAAACGTTATGATGTGCATACATTTTGAAAATGCGCATAAAAAACTTATGTGCATAACGGAGTAGGATAAACTTTATTCGATAAGAAAAGATGCGTATAAACTCACTTACTGCACAAACTCCAGTATGCACATTAAAAAAAGGTCATGTGATTTTGTTATACGAGATTTTGTGATGATGAAAATGTGTGTGAATGGATAAACCAGCAGGCTGAGCACACTGTAAACCATCTGAAATGTTGTTTTTGTCATTTTAAAACGCCATACCACTTCATTATTAGTGATATTATATTATTAATGACCTCCAGAATCAAGAGTGTCTGCTCCGCATCTGACTCCTTCAAACACCACCACGTGTTCACTGCGTGTCAGGATTGCTTTCTGAGGCGCAAGTCATTTATTATATATATTATATAAGATTGACGCGGCTTCTCCAACTGCTGCAAATTCAGTTTTTACTGTTGATATTTGGCGCCAGTTAATCAGAAAGTGACAATTTTGTTCGCTTTGACTTGTTGGATGGAAATGCTGCTTTATTCACACGTCTTTCATGTGATAATCCAGTTTGCGCATAAAGTTCACTTGCATTTTAGGATGAAAACATAGCTAGTGAGAGCTAGTGTGTAAAAAAACAAGTAGTTTTTTTTTTTTTTTTTGCACTGTGTATTGCTGCATACTGTTTTAGGAAAACACATTTCTCCAACAGCAAACCCAGCCAATATGTTTAAGGTGAAACACATTGTATATTTTCTTGTGGATGTGCCTTTTATGTGCTGATGATTTAAGAAAACATTATTAAACCATTACATTGATTCAGCAAATGTCTTAGTTCTAAATGTAACTATTTAAAACCTACATAAACATTGATATATGCATAATGCTAAACTCTGAGTTTCTGTCGGTCTCCTCCCCTTTTTTTAAAGATGAAGCTTATTTCTCGCCTGAGCCTTACGTTTCCACCCACCTATTTTAGAGCTCATTTTGGAGACGCCCATAAAAACGATTGATGGAAACATCATGATTCACATAACTTTTGAAAATATGCATAATAAAACATGTGCATAACTGCGTAGGTTAAACTTTTATTTGATAAGAAAAGATGTGCATAAACTACGAAGTGCACTTAAATTACAGTATGTACATTAAAAAAAAGTTTGTTAGAGATGATGATGAAAATGTGTGTGAATGGACAAACCAGCAGACTGAGCACACTGCAGAACATCTTAAATGTTGTTTTAGTCATTCTACAATGCCTTAACCGTTTTAGTATTAGTGTATATTATTAATTACCTCCGAGCATTAGGAGCGTGTCAAGAGTCTCCGCGTCTGGCTTCAAATGCCCCCACGTGTTCATTGTGTGTCAATTGTCTTTTGAGGAGCAAGTATTAAATAAAAAATAATTGACGCAGCTTGTTCTACCGCAGTAAATTCTGTTTTTACTGTTGATATTTGGTGCAAGTTAATCAGGAAGTGACGATTGTGTTCTTTTTGACTCGTTGGATAAAAACGCTGCTTTATTCGCATCTTTTAGGCGTTATTCCAGTTTTGCACAAATTTATGTAATAGCCTGTATTTTGATGGAAACACAGCTATTGCCTACATTTTAGTCACACACAGAAAAAAGTCACGTACGAGGCTTGTCCTTTTTTCCATAAATATTTAGCTTAACATTCGACATGCACTGTTACTAGATTAATAAGATTGTTATTCTGTCTAAAAATTATTTTTAGCACTGCTTACGTTCTTAATGTTACATCAACCTCTATCACTTAATCAATAAAAAGGCAGACACACAAGTGCACTGTTAAATCTATTAAAACTGATAAACGTGTATAAAAGTTTAGAAAAAAAGTATAAACGTCACACATTGCATTACTTATTTTATTATACTTAAATGTTTAAATACTTTAAATTAAAAATTACGCATTAACTTGAGCAGCTGTTTTCCCATGCTAACTGTCTCTGTTTCACTGATGGTTGCTTCTTTTCAAATATATAAACTCATATGTGCTATAACTTTGCATGAGCAGATCAAGTTCAGCTGGGGAAAGAAATGGTGATCTCTTTTTTTGAGATGTTGCCATAGTCACTCCTAATATCTGCGCTCCATTGATAATGCCTTTTTATAGTCACGGTGTGCGCACTTAACTCTGAGTTGGTCTACTCAAAGTTGATTGACCCAACTCAGATCAGCTATTCTGAAACCGAAAACTCAGAGTTTTTAATCTCTCGGTAAATCAACTCAGACCTTAAAACAATCTCTGCTCACCACTCTCTCACATCAATTGAGAACATTAGAGGTTTTCAAAACCATGTTTCCTGACTCTTGAGGTTGCAGTTACATTCTTGTGCGGAAGCAACAAAACTGCACATTACTTAATTCAGATCCTTTTATAACGAAAGAACTGACTGACCAGGGGCCTGTTTCAGTATGGAGGTTCAAACAACACAGAGTTTAAACTTGAACTCTGAGTTGATTTATACTTTTTTTCTAAACTTTTATACACTTTTAATAGTTTTAATAGATTTAACAGTGCACTTGTTATGTGTCTGCTTTTTTATTCATCAAGTGATAGAGGTTAATATAACATTAAGAAGGTAATCAGTAATAAAATAATTTTTAGACAGAATAATAATCCCATTAATCTAGTAACAGTGCATGTCGAAAGTTAAGCTAATTATTTTTAAAAAAAAGGACAAGCCTCGTACGTGACTTTGTTCTGTGTGTGACAAAAATGTAGGCAATAGCTGTGTTTCCATCAAAATATAGGCTATTACATAAATTTGTGCAAAACTATAACGTCTAAAAATAAAGCAGCGTTTTTATCCAAAAAGTCGAGGAGAACACAATCGTCACTCCCTGATTTACTTGCGCCAAATATCAACAGTAAAAACAGAATTTTCTGTGATAGAATAAGCTGCGTCAATGATTTTTTATTTAATTGATGTACTTGCGCCTCTTGGTATTCTATACAAAGCCTGAAGCTGATCGGTCAGTTCTTGCCATGTGACTAATGGTTTTCAACTGGGTGAGCTTGGGAATTTTGAGCGTGCACAATATGCAATCCCAATGCGAACCCGTGCTCGCCCATAAGATGCAATATGTGAATGGCCCCATAAGCAGCTACACATCTCTTCACATTCAGAAGATATGTTTACTCCCGATCCTGCACAAAAGTCCAATTTAGCTTGTTTAGGCTGTGTTTCTCAGGCTGCATTAACACTGCAGATCTTGATGGTAAATTCCAATTTTGTGACTGTATCCAATTTTTTGATGACCTGCTAATTTTGACTTGCTAATTGTGTATTTACAAAGCATACAGCACAGGTGTAAATGTAAATAAGTAATGTAAATTACATGTAAATAAGTATTTACCTTCAGGAAATAGCTGAAGGCATATATTATGTTATCACAATTATATAATGTGGCAATAAGATCATAACTGTACTTCACATTTACATTGTGGAGATATTCGTTAAATATAAAACAACATTGACATTATAGCAGACACAGTAAAAAGCTCATTCTCAGTCACTAGACTTTTCTGACAGTGTATTGAAGTGTCATCGATTATCAGAATGTTGTGAAACTGCTGTACAGGAGTTGTTATTATTATTGATTATAGGCCGCAAAATTTTGCATTTTTTATTTTATTTATTTATTTATTTTAAAGCATGATGGCAAAAGACCAACACAGATCTGAATATATTAAAACATGGCCTTGTTTGTTGTAAAAATTCATAATGACAAAAAATATTATTTTGTGGATCTCCTTACTTCCGGGTGCAGCTGTGGCTGGTGTAATATGGGAAAATTTTCTAACCCTTTGGTTTCGAGTGTGATCCTAAAAAATCTTTGTTCGATGAGGTATCTACCCCTTGCCCTTAGCCCTATGCCTTCAAACTAAAGGGAACTGGGACACCCCTACCCCTTCATAAGAACGTGAATGTAAGAGGAAGGGCTAAGGGGTAGATTTGGGATTGGGCCTAACGCCCCATTCACATGGGGCTTTAGCGTCAATGCTTGACTGAAGGCGTGTCTGAAGATCGAGCTGAAACGATCGTCATAGAAGCGTCAGCCAATGAAATTCAGTCAGCAATAGGCCACTGTCTAGCTGGTGTATTTGCATACAGCGATCTGATTGGCTGACGCTTCCGTCGGCGCTTAAAAAGTTGAGCTAGTCCCAACTTCTGCAGCGAGCAACGCCTCTGAAGCGGCGCTGACGGATCCACAATGCAGTTCGGCAACGCCTGACATCACCCATT